AACAAGCAGGCATTCGACCAGGTCGTGGTTGTATCGACCAAAACTTCACTCTACGTCAAGTCCTCGAACCACACCATACGTACTGTCGAACAACGGTTGTCATGTTCCTTGACCTAAAAGGAAGAGCCTTCGACTCAGTTGACCGTGAATTCCTTATGGGTTCGTTTCTTAACGAAGGAATGCCGCAGAAGTATGTGAACATAATGAGTTCACTCTACTCACATCTCTGGTAGCGTAAGGGTCTACGGCGAGCTGAGTAGGTCGTTCGTAACTAGCAGCGATGTTCGTCAAGGATGCCCTCTTTCGCCATTCCTGTTCAATTTCGTCATAGACGAAATGCTGGAGAACGCACTAAGTGGTCTCCAAAATATAGGTATTGAATGGGCAGCTGGAGAAAAGCTGTGCGATTTCAAGTACGCTGACGACATCTACTTGTTCGAATGTGTGGAGAATGCACAAAGAGCACTTGGCAGATTAGCAATTTCTGTCGCTCCGTTCGGTATATGCTTTGCACCTTAAAGTGCAAGGTGTTACTATGAGACTGAGTGTTGCCGAGTTCTGTTCTGAAACTAGACGATCAGGAATTAGCTGAAGTGGACTGCTTCTCGTACTTAGGTATCTGCGTGACAAACGACGGTAGCGCATCAAAGGAGATGACCGCCCGCATTTCCAAGGCTCGAGCAGCGTACGTAGGACTAAAACACCTGTGGCGGCGACGTGATGTTTCATTGAGGTTGAAAAGTCGCGTATAATGCGCCACTGTACGATCAGTTCTAGTTTACGGTTGTGAGACCTTGAATTTGCTGGTAGACCACATCCATCGCCTGTTGTTTTTCGATAATCGATGCTTTCGTATTCTGGCCCAGGTTGGATGATGTGAGCGGGTTAGTAACTTAAAAGTAAGTCGTTGGGTATTTGGGAATNACAAGACTGGGTGTCACCGAGTTCTGTTCTGAAACTAGACGGTCAGGAATGAGCTGAAGTTGACTGCTTCTCGTATTCAGGTAGCTGCGTGACCAATTAGGGTACTGCATCGAAGGAGATAACCGCTCGCATTTACAAGTCTCTAGCAGCGTAAGCAGAACTAAAACACCTGTGGCGGCGATATGAGGTTTTACTGAAGTTGAAAAATCGCACATACTGCTCCACCGTACGATCAAGTCTACTTTACGGTTGTGAGACCTCGAAAAATACATCAAACAAGAACTCGCTATCTCATCGAATTTAGCTCAATAGGCTCCGTTGGTTAGGGCACGTTTTGCGTATGTCCGACGGTCGCTTACCGTAGCGCGCCTTGTTTACAGCGGCTGTTACAGGCTGGAGGAAGCCACGTGGAGGCCAGAAGATGACGTGGAAACGAGGCATAAAGAAATGCACAGAGCGATTAGGTAGAGTGGGTGTCTCTTGTCTTCCGGGTTGGATGTCCACAAGACTCCGAAACCGCATGGTTGGAGACAGTGAAGGTCACGGCCGCGAACCAACAGCAATGGGACCATGCCGTTACTTCTTATCAGACTAGAATGCTTGAAATTGTAAGTATGCTCATTTGAACTGGTTACTCTGTGTGTTAACCGTAGAGGTTCGCTTTCTTTTCCCGTCCCTAAAAAGGTCCAATCCCTGTCCTCCTTATGCATTCTCACTCATATTATATGCATTATCAGTTTGGTGGCGATCAGTGAAGTTCGCTTCACTGTATTACGCCCTACAATGATGATGATGATGATGAATGATTATAATCTATCATCCCCCCTCCCGATGAAGAGACGCATCCGCATTGCTTGTTTAGTCAATGAGATAAGATTGCGATGGAAAGTGAATTTGGGTTACGACAGCAACTCTTGCCAAATCGCTCAAAAATATCATTTGATATTGACCAATCAGATACTCAAGCCATTAGTGTGCTCAAACCAATACGGTCAAAAAGAAATCACGTTACTCTCGATCACCGATTCACACGATTACCAAATTTGTAAACTTCAATTACTAATTTATATACCTTCAAACTTGTCAGACTCTGCTTTTACACAGCAGTCTCAGTTCATCCTGTGTCCCCGTTAACTCGAGGCGGACTAGGCTCGAGTTTCGCTTTCATTGGAATCCGTCTGTAATGCGTATCTACCGTCTCGTTGAAATCTGAACCATTAGCATAACTCACATGTAGATTAGCAGTATGCTTTCCTTTGTTCATTTCATTTAGAGTCTCTACCGATCGGTTACGCTGATTCCGAGGTTCACAACCGGCGATTTTCAAGCTCTTTGGTTAGTGTTTTTATGCCCTCACGCCAAGTATCAGTTTTCTTTTCCTCAGCCACCACCTGATTCGGTAAACGTCTTATGTCATGAATACCTGCTTGATGATAAGTGTGACACATGTCCAAGACCACGTATTCTATCTATCTTGCCCTTGAATTTGCTCTCAATATTCCAACCTTCATTCTGCTTTTTTATCCAAACGGTCTGCCAAAAGACCACCTAAAACCAGGGCACGAAAGTGCATAGTTAATGGTTATAAAAACTGAAACTCTATGGAGGTCGAGTACTTATTCCGGCGCGCGATTGCGATGGTCTGAAATTCTGCGAAATTTTTCAACGAATGTATCAATTCATCTCACACTGCCAGTCATGAAAACCATTATGTGATCAGTTCACTGCGACAATGAACCATCTAAATATTGTAGCGTGAATTTCATAAGCCCTGACTGAAAAGCTAGATAGCATTGGGCAACTGCTTTTATTGTGGTTGGGTTGCATCAGCATTGCGAATCCATCGATCTTACTGAGAATCGCGGTCCCGGAACCTCACAGGTTGAGCACAAGGATACTACCCACTCTGTCGCCGGGCAAACGATAAGACCGCTTTTCATTTTTCCTTATACACGATAGGGTCCAACCCATTTTTGCAAGCTTAATGCAAATATGAAAACTTGTACACTTTGGCTATCTCGTGTATAGGCAAATGGAAGGTGTTTCGATCCACTGCTTGGTGGTCCAGTGGGTATTAGGCTTACATTCTACCTTTGAGGTCCCGGGTTCGATCACCAACTGGATCGATATATTAGTACTGATGATGAGAGTTAGCCAGGTCAAAACAGCTGTTCGATGCTTCCTAACATTTTAAATCACTCTTCATCCGTTCTGTCCATGACGAATTACACCCTCAAACCACATTTTCGTAACTATCTAAATATCTTCACAATTACATAATTGCCCGAAGAGTTTATTAAACCCGTCAGCCTTGCATTTGATATGATCAAATCTAATGATTCTTGAGAAAATTCGTCTTGGCAATTGACTTAGTTAATACCCTATTCGTCCACATATCTCTTTGAGTTGAAAGGATACCCGAATGTGAAAAGATCAGTGCGTTCCGTTTAGTCTCCTATTTCAGCTGATTAAATATGTGTAAGTAAATGAAAAAGGCATAATTGGTCTCGATATATGAGTTTGGGTTCCAGTGAGTCTTGTGATCTGAAAACTTCATCGAAAATACTAACCAATGAAACTATAAGAAACCATTGCTTATTTGGAATGGAGACGTGTACGTTGAAGGATGATGTATTTACCTGCAACTAAATGAATTTGCATCAATGCATTCACGGTCGAAATGGAGTCCCTTATTCACTCTGAAATATATATGGAAAATCGGTTTAGATGTAGATTGTGTGTAACTGAGGAAAAATTGGGCTTCAAAACTGCCCATACCGGTTCATAGTTTCCACACATGGATGTGTGTGTGTAAATCAAGAAAAGTTGGAAAATTGCGAATTCAAGCCAGATGTCCACATAGATGTATGAGGATGGTATGCTAGATTATCAGCTATATCACCGGGATAGTCCGACATCTCGGGTTTCATAAAGGGCCGCATTCGCGAATGTACTGTTTGGGCGGAAATACAGCGTTGATTTCTTGAGTCCCATTTTGTATTGAGACTGGGGCTCTTGGTCAGTCGGACCAGCTGATCATGACTCAAAATTAGTCCTGCCGTGGCGTAAAAACACGGAAATTTGTCATCAAACATTTTACAACATTTTTCCAGAGCTTGCGCGTTCGGGGCGATAATAGATACCATCTGTTGCCTGAATCCCTTGGCATTGCGTCGTCGTTTCCGTGTCAGGCGAATTCGGCAATCGGAGGCTCGGCCGATCGACTCAATTCGTCTGTCCAGCGGGCTTTTGAATAGTTGTTCAATCCATGGTTCACAAGCCACCCAAAAACGATAAGTATAAATATGTACAGGGTGGGATATCACTGGACCGGATGCGCAAGAACCGGCTTGATAGCTTACACGTCCGGATGGTGTGCGAGAGGTGCGCACATCGGATTTGGGACGTTGCCTACGATTTTTGCGCCTAGTTCTATTGGTTACGTTCCCACCAATGAAAGGTGTTTCTCGGACTAAGAGTCCAAACCTGGTAAAAAAATAAGGAAAGAAATGAAAACAGTGCAACACTTACGTTGAAAAAGTGACAAAATGGTATTGGTACTGAGATGATCAATCAGGTCTAATATACTCTAGTTCAGTTCAGATTATACTACCATTAACTGCTTAAGTCAATGCGGCTCTACTGGTTTCGGTCCTTTAGCTGTGCCCCACCAGCTTCGTAGATTGTGGTAAAGATAGCGGTTTTCATGCAACTGTGCTTATTTTTTTACCCTTTTTCTGTAACCACCAAGTTTCTGCACCATACACATTTGTCATTTTCCCTACTGACTACCCAGCTAGAATGCTGTCCCATCCGCTTTCCGCATGTCCCAGTGGGTATATGAGGCCAAGAACCGATCCCGAACAGGGGACTTACAATCAGTGCACCTGCGAATAAAACAATAAACAATGCAGGTCCATGGAAGCTCCGCAGATAGGTTTTAGTCAAGCTTTTGATTCAAACGCTCGCGTTAGGGCTATCACAGAAAAATACTTCACCGATGTGGGTTCCCGCAAAGTATGTTGTACCCTAAAATCTCAGGCAGCCATCTGGAAAACAGCGTTTGTCATCTACCTAATTTTTCCTTGAACTTTACTGATGAACCACATATGATATCAGGGAATGTTTGAATGTACTTTAAGCACTTCATGTATGTACTTTATGCACTTTATGTATTTCACACACGTCTGATGTCAGACCGTGTACCAAACCAATCACGGTGCAATAATCTCTATAACCTTTATGAATACAAATCCATTTATCCGTAAATATTGGTGTTCAATATGTATATGATAAAATATATACTTTATGTTAGTTTAGATTTGTGCAACCTGCTTGATATTTAGCTTCTGAAATAATGGACCGACAAAGACGTATCCTGAAGAAGTTGAGATAAATGAATTATCACTAACATGGATAAGCAAAGATAAGTAACACGCGATTTGAAGTGAAAAGACGTCCAAATTCCGACTTCCATGCGTGACGGGATATTGATAAATTCTCCGGTGGTAGGCTGAGCTTTAAAACTTTCATACGTCCAGTTTCCGTTATAAATTTCATAGGAACGGGAACATGTAGCATCACAGAACAGGTTGAATCCAACGGTTTTGCGTTAGCTCCTCTGCAAACAACTAGACTTTGTGATCCACCGGCGATTCGATCAGTAATCACGTTCTCCCACCCTTTCCCTCTGTTCAATTCGAGTAAGACTGTTAATCTTTTACCTTCGCATTAATTTCGCTTAGTCGACTGTTTTTGGTGTTCAAAGATTTGTCAATGGCCCGATCGTAGTTTCTCATGAATGTTTGTACGCAGCTGATGGAGTAACGCAAAACAGTCGAATTCAACCTGTTCTGTGATGATGCTTGTTATCGAGCTTATGATATTGATCACTTTGCTGAATTTGATCTAACGTTATCAATCACTTAATGGAATGTTACTCTGTAAATATTGGTTAGATATTGACAGAAAACCGATATGAATAACGATATCAAGTGAAAAAATTGTATGCATCATGTATCCTTCCAATCACCGTAATATCACATCCAACATAGTAGTTACTTGAAGATGAACTTTACCTGTTGGTCTTGGCATGCAACTGGTCCCCTCAAACATTGATTTTGCTTAAAATGAGTTTCCCAGATTCGAAAATGGTACATCAAGCGTTCCGATTTAGGTTATTTCAGTGAAAACCTCTGTGGTTGATGACCAGTTCTTCCAGTTATGGGGGGTCACTATTCCCGACACCTCTCGAGTTACTCCTATGCAGCTGACAGTCTCAGAAAGCCTTTGTGGAACGAGCTCTTTTCACTGCCTTCCCGAGTCAGTGTTTTCTACCAGAAGTGGAGAACGAAAGCCAACAGGTGAAATCTATTATATAACTAAATCAAAATGCTCCATTACTCTCATGTAAACATTAGTCGGAATGGATTGTTTCGAACCGAATCATAACCCTAGGGGCTAGTATTGAGATCAGCTAGGTTTGCTGAGCGCAACATGCTCCCAAAGATGGGTTGTGCTACATGGTGAAAGGCATAATGAAAAACTGTCTGATCAGTTACCCGGTGGTTGAGTGGGTAGTATGATGGTGTCCTACCTGTGAGATCTTCGATTTCGATCCCCATTTGGAGTGATGTATTCGCAGTGCTGGTGATACCCTATCAAGTCAAACAGCTGTTCAGTACTTCCTGGCTTTTTGTTTTCGATTCATTTGCTCTTGTCGTGACGGACTTCTTAAACCATTAAAACAAAATCTTCTACTACTCTAATGTATCCTGGTAATTATCGTCGTATTTTTCGTGCAACCCCTATAATTCTCTTTCTTCCTATTCCACTGACCAGCTTAATGAGTTCACAGATATTTTTACAATCACTTTACCAAATTATGCGGACGCTCCCCTATGCATTGTGTTTGGTGACTGATAAGTTTGCGGGAAAATTTTTGACTAACCTTGGTCTGCTGAATGTTGTTAGCTAGACCCGGGGCTTAAATCGATCTGTGTTTTATTAATAACCTAAACTTATCCAATTTGCGTTATCATTCCCCCCTTGGAAGTTTTCATCCAATCACCAATTTCTCACTCGGAATAGTGACGGTTGGCTTTGGAGACGTCAATGTCAGTTCGAAAATCTAGTCGTGCTCAGAAGTGTATTAAGTCAAACACATTTCACTCTATTTTTACATAATGACTCCTCAGTTTTTTGTGATACTCCGATTGAAAATCTGAATTTTTGCTATGATAAATTCTTCTTTTGGGAAACGCTATACCAGCAGTCTGATTAATTCTCTTCTCTTAAACATAAACAATTCCGTCGGATAAAAGAGCATGCTTTTAAGCCAGAAAGCACCGTTTAGTAACAGATTTCTAGGAGACTATCTACAGAGACTAAGAGCTGCTTATTTACGTGCACTGGTAATTAAATGGAACTATCGAGATACATGGAAAGTGTCACTTCAGCTTTGAGGTCTCAAATCGAAACATAATCATCAGGCTTGCAATAAGGACTATCTCAGTCGCCTAATCATTAATGTTGCAACCGACAGCCCTGTTCCATAGGTGGCAATTGTCCCTCCCAATAATGCGGCAAATTTAATTTCAGTCTAAAAGGAAATTTTTAAAACGTTCATTAGTCTGCAATCGAATACGACATGGACTGCCAATAGTTGTGCTCAAAGAATGTGCAGTTCCCCTCTCTTTTGTTTCTGCCGATCGGTGCTTCACTTAGTATTGTAATCCAGACTGTTGTATAGTGAATTTTGTCACGCTTATTGCTTAGAATGGAATGTCTAACTTCAGTTTCAGTTTCAGTTTCTACAACCATTAACCATTCACTACCGTGAGCCAGTATTGGTTGCCGTATTTTGGCTGCTCATTTGGATGAACATGAGGAGAAAGACAGGAAAGGTTGAAAGTAGGATCGAAGACAGCAGTGTTTGAACACCGACAGTCTATCTTTATCCTGTTCTCCTAATGACCAAGTTTCTGCGCCCGATAGCAGAACAGGTCGAACTGCCGCAGCATATACTCGACTCTGCACAGACAGTTGGATGTCTAAATTCGATCCGACTGATTGTACATCAGTTGGTTCCAAAGTCTTAGAAGCGACTATATTCCAGAAGACGTACCTTCATTCAGACGCATCTGATCTTATTCAATGTGCCTATCGTAGCTCCATGTTAACCCTCAATACGCTGGCGTCACTCAATTTCTATGGTTGCTCATCTTTGGACAGAAAATGCAAAACTTTTCGTTTGCTTCGTTCCCTTATGTTGATAGCGCAACTCGTTCGCACTCTTGCTGGAAAGGGTATTCAATATGTTACTCAATTATTTCACTCAAAGCAAACATTTTACTAAATATGGAGGTCACAACACTTTTATCCTCCGACGCACGATTTCTTCAAGGTGTTATTCTGTCTTCCTTCCTGTTGTTTACCTATAATTCTTCCATAACCAAGAAGAGGTACACGAACTACACCCATGCACATCATTTTATTAGTGGCAGTGGTCACCCACTCTATTAGGCATGGAGTATATTGGGCAACGTAGGGTCTTTTGATTCCGTCCGAAGGTCGTATGATTCGATGAACTGGACACCGATCCCACACGGATTGCGATTTTCATAGATATTCCAGCGGCGTGGTCGGTCAGCTTTGACTAGTTCAATGCTCCGATTGTGAAAGCAAGTAAAATTTACCTGCTTTAGTATGGGCATTTTGGCAGCATCCCACGCATTACTAAATCATGGACATCTTTTCTTTGTTATAAAGTTCACTGCGGTTATCGTGATTTATTTGTAACAACAGAAATCTGTTCTCTATTCCTTATTACAGGTTTGAGCTCTTTTAGATTGTCAGAAAATACAGCACAAGGAAGTAGAATGTGCTTGTTATAGACTTTTGGATCACAAATTTACCGCAATATTGGGCGATTTTATAATACATTTTGTATATGGTAGCTTGTTCTTGTCACTGAGTCATGATTCCTTCAAGGTATTGGAATATGTCATGTTCAGTCATTCAAATGTAAGTTTAACGCAAAACTCAGTGTAAACGACTGGGCTCGGGAATGGAGAAGATGCGAAGACAAACAGAGTGGAAAAAACAACTGGGAGAGTCAGAAGGGTGATTGATTGGATACGCGTGAGGTTAACAGAACCACGCTTGAGTTGTGTGCACAAAATGGGACTGAAAATTCCCGTAGCCACGGTCTAGGCAACATATATTATATTATATTTCACACCTGTCTGTGTACAGATTCTGTATCCAGTATTGTCTAGTTTAGCGAAAACACCGAAACAGAATACGTCAGTTGGGTCGACCTTGTGACCGCTTCGATGTTTGGCTATCCCGCATTTCAAGCACCTCTCACATAACAATTCTTATGACTTTTTTTAAATTACCGACAATACGTAATCCCTTGCCTTACATTGTTGTTTCTGTAGCTGCATTCACGATGACAGCGGAGTCACTGTTTGATATTTCAGTGAAGGGAAATTGTCACTGAGTATTTTCTGGATTTCACTGGGTTACATTTTTTCAAGAAAACCCTACTTGAATTGGGCTTATTTGAGCTGTACCCTCTAAAACCACTCTAAGTAATACGACTTTGAAAGCGTGTTATCCCCTAAAGGACTGTCTGCGCCCCATTGTAATTCAAAATCTATCCTTTCAAAAAGGGATATCGATTCAGTCACATGAAAGCAAAAGATAGGACGAATAGTTGTTTTCGAAAGTTCGAATCGTACCATTACATTTTATGGAACTTGAAACACAGATCTAAGCGTTGACTGGCAAGCCGAAGTGTATATGTGGTCGGTATCGACAATCTGTCCTTATTCCTCAAGTTTCGAAGATTACCATTGCAAGCCTTGACATCTTTTACCGTTTTATTGATGATGTGTTATGTTCTGGTACAAACAATGGCATTGAAGATGTGCCACGAAGACACATTGATGTTGGTCAATCCTTTGTTATGTTGGAAATATAACCGGGAGATCAAGTCCCATTTGCTGGATAGTTTACCAACAAGAAAAGCTCGCTATTTTCATCCGGAGATAGGATATGGATCTGCCAGTATGCTAACTTCCCTGTCTCTCTACTGGGAAGCCAGAGGATATAAATGTGGTAAGTGATTTGACATTGATAGGCAAAGAAATCTGTTTAGTTGCGATGCTGCCCGAAGGAGTAACTATGCTAGATATCAAACAGTAATCATGTTGGTTTTAAATAAATATATACTGAATAGGTTCATGCTGAAGAGGGATTCTTTAACGAAATTTCTTACCTCCCCACAGCTGTAAGACCTACTTTCTATTCTGCAATTCTGACATAATCATTTATTTATGTCTGTGACTCATTTTTGATGAGTGACAGCAAGGACGATACACGTCTCGGCCCTCGTACAACATTGTTTAAAACATAAATAACCCACTATTGGCATGATTTTTGACATGTTATATCCTGTAAATGTAGCAAAAGCCAGAGCACAACAATTACTCTAGACAACAGCGACAATACCATTGGTAACGATCGTCAACGGTCAGTCGACTCACGGTTTCGTTGGATTTCGAAAGAAAATCATGTTTATTTGATAACTTCACACAACACGTACACCACGCATTTGCTAAAAGACATAACACCTCTGCAATTCCCTTGATGCCGATTGAATAAATAACCGTTGTAAACTAGAAACTATCTTACTTACCGCTTTCTAGTTTGTGTACAATATGTATGCTTCATCATTTGCAAGCATTCCGGCACTAGTTGTAGTTCGTCCGAACCAGGATGAATGGAATCGTCCAGATGAATGCCGTTCTCTTGCATTTCATCCACGGACTTCAGTGTTGACGAAAAACTCGCCGGAGTCGTCGCGGAGCTTTTATCATCTGGTTTTACTGTAATCAGAGTTAATGATTTGAAATGGCCCTTGTTCACATTCGGACTGTGCGCGGTTACTGTTACTGTACATGTGGGGCCACTTATTGTGGATATTATTTCGTTCTCAAAACCTTCTGTGAAACGAGGATCACTGCGCCAGTTTATTCGCGGTTTTATGGGACTGGGCATAATCATTGGTTTGGTTGGTTGAACCATGTTTTCCATGGTGGGACGGACATCGCCAGAATGAATACAAGACGAACGAATGGCATATTGTTTCAAATCGAGTGGTGAGGGTACTAATAGGGGTGAAATAGTTCCCGAACCGAATTCTGTGGAGATACAATCCCGGTCCACATGCTCCGGAGGTGAAGTCTCTCGCTCTTGAATAATAGGTTTTCCTTGATCATGTGAGATAGAAGACGATTTTTTGATAACGAATCTATGTTTTCCGGGTTCCGGGAGTTTCTCCGCCTCAAGCAATTGACACTCATTGTCTACTGATGACTCTACCCGCTGCCGATACTGGTGATTTGGTTCGGGAATGCTAGGGGTGTCAGCTAATGTTGTGTCTACAGAAGCGTACATCTGAGAAGTTTCCACTTTGCGCTGGTTTAATACACGACGCCACAATCGCCTTCGTTTCTCACGTGTTTGCGTTTTTTCGAGGTCCTCATTTTCATTGTCCTGAGAGTAACCGGTTGAGGGACATAAAGTCTGGTCCGTCTGCAGGATGGCTTTTTCCGCAAACTGATTCTTCTGTGAACTTGATTTTAAGGAATTAGCAGCAGAGTGCACCAGTTCCATCATTTCCCCCTTTTCACTTATCATTTGGTTAGGTTCATCCGTGATTCCAATTGTGACATGGTCAAATTGTGAGGCAACAAGGTATGTGTTTTGTGTGGAAGTTAAATTGTTATAAACTTCGTGATTTCCCGGTAATTTGATGGGAACGTATTCTTTGTTATGATCCAGATTTTCAGTATCATTTGATTCGTCTACATACAGTTTTCCTTTAGTCGAATCCGTTGACAACAGTGAAGTGTTCTGTAGTTTTGACTGCATGAACCATGGGACGTTTCGGATTAACTTTTGTTTTCTACTACCCATTCGTTGGAACAAAGTCACATTTTGTACGGAGTCATTGTGTGCGACTGCTGATTGCCAGACATTGACCTCCGCCTCTTGTAAGACCATGGTCAACCGGTCATCTGGATCCACCGCGTTCCCCAATTCCGCCTCCTCACTGTCATCATAGACAATTTCGACGATTTCTTTTTGTATTGGTTTGGGATAATTTTTAACTTTCTGTCGATCTTGGTGTGCAGAAATCCGTTGTCCCATACTTGTACATTGAAAAGAGTTTGTTTGATCAAATTAAATGTTTAGATGTTATTGTTCCTGAACTTCCAAATCAGTTACCTCATCATATGGTTAACCATATGCGACTGATTGATCCTACTCAATCACATGACTTCTGTTTAACTCGTTGACTTAATCGATATTGACTAGCTAATAGAAGTAGCACAGGAGGTTTCAGGGCATAACCGGAAAATAACAAAACTGTCGCCTTCATTAGCAGATTACTGAATAAAGAGGAAAGGATCTGAAATATTGCACTTTTTAACTTGGTGCATGTTCAGCACTAGTATTCACTTCACGTTCATAATCAACATTGGAGCGTATTGTTCGAAGTATTTGTATCCGAATTAAATAACTTTTGTGAGCTCATATGTTGACAAATTACTGAAAATCGGTTCTCGTAGATCAGCTGAACTGAATTTCATTTCATCTGTTCGTCTAACTTGCTTGAAAACGTTTCATCACCAGCAGAGGTAACATCGTCACGTCGCCATTTCACAAGCACTGACGATGTCACCTCGGTTGGTGATGAAATGTATGCAGGCAAATAGCCAAGAGCGACGAACAGGGCTTCGGTGTAAATAGGACTTACTTTCATATTTTAAAGGAGATGTAAGTAGCTCTCCGATTGGGATGTAAAAGTTGATTGTATGCTGATTCTATGGTTAACTACTATTTCCAGTGCGTTTGTAATGCAACGCACATTACTTGCAAGACGAGGCAACTATCCCAACGGATGAAGGAACAATGTTCACGCTAGTTAAAACAAAGGGGGACCAGAGATCATAAGAGGCGCCATTCTTGGTCATCTAGTGAATACAAGCCATCAAATTAGACCCGAATCCGTTTTCGGCGTAATCCATCGGGTATCCCCCAAACCCTCTAAGGCAGTGCGTTTACACACACTAGCCACCGCAGAGGCGATAGGCATTCGTCTTTTGGCACCGGAACTATGTGCACATCCTGGCTACAAATTGATCATCATCATCATCATCATCATCATCATCACCACCACGTTCAACACTCCAATCACAGTTAATCTCGCCTGAACACAAACGCATAGGGTTGCTTAACCCACCCCTCCCCTCCATCCCTCGAGAATGACCTTTCGACCCAGCGTGAAAATGTGTCCCACTAACAATAAACAGGCATGATAATGAATCATTCGGAAACAATTGTTCGCCTTCGGACTTCTGTTGTAGTGTTACAGTGGGATTATTCTGGAATTTAACGTTTTGATAAACAGTAATCAGTTGAACGATCTGTATTGGTAATTTATTCCGCAATAAACAGAAAGCAATCAGAGGACACGATCCAAACTATTTTCCATATAGATCCGGAGGTGTTTTCACCAGTGATATGTTTCAGACCGAGATTTCAACTCTGATAAAGACCTCATCAGAAGACGACAGTTTAAAGTGATCCATTTCGTTGTATTCGATAGAGGGAGCAAAGTCAACAACCAAACAGGGTCTAAAGAAAAAGACACTCAACTCATTAGATTTCCTGCTGGCGGAACAGCAGTAATATAGCGGATCAGTTGGCCTCTACTTGATGCAGTTGAACCAACTTCAAACTATTCGGACAAGAATTAACTGTTTGTGCTGACCTCGTCTAAAGTAATTCGTCAATTCAAGACTATCCATGATGCCGTTTATATGAATTATACGTCAGCAGTGTAATCCAAAAACATCAGGAAACATTATCCATGATAATTAAGACAGTGGAGATGGTGCTGTTTCTAGCTGGATCATTATTCAACGTTAGTACTAATAGAGATCTCAGGATACACTTATGCATTCGTCATTGGCGTTTAACGGATATCACTACAAGCATAAAATCGATCAGAATGTGAACATTGGAACATTGGGTGGGGTAATCATTAATCACCTTTTTAAACAAGACTTACAGGCCCAAGAGAAATTAAAATAATATCCCTAATTCCTCGATCAAAACCAGACCATTCGGGCCTGGTATTGACTTCAGATATTTGATCATCCTTGAGAAAATGAATTTTCTCTTCCTTTGATCCCAAATACTACCCTCTCCTCTGTTCACCATGTTACATCTCACCACAGCTGTCTTAAAAAAGAGTGTTGATACTGGCTTGCAAACTAAATCACAAAAAACATATATTTGCTACCATCGGCATTTGGATGAAAAACTACTCCTTATTCTATGATATGAACATCAAATGTAATGTAAAATATATATTCATTTTGGTGATATAAACTTGACAGGCTAGTTTACAATTGTGGTATTTACTTAGGAGAGGAGAAAAATTTTTTGAAAGGGTTTCTCGCGTGCACAGTTTGACTGAGATGTCATTTGAGGTTTCTTTCAAACAGTTGATCGGAATGATTGAAGAAATCAATCGGAAACTGCTACTTGCCTTATAGTGAGGAAACGGTGTGTCTTCATTTCATGTTCAACTTCTTTTGGATTGAAGTTCACCAAGTGTGTGCGTTTAGTCTTCCATAACAAACAAAGTGAACAGGAACTGTTGTTGAATGTAAATAATAACACTGATCTCTATCTAAATATGGGTGAGATTATAATAAATGAAAATCATTTCCAAAGAAATAAAATAAATTATCAAGAATTACAGTTCAAAGAGGATAAAGTGTAGCTTTCGAGAATACTGCTTTGCGTGTGATTGTCCCGTTGGCAGATTGACTCTGGAGGTCAACAAAGTATCCTAGAAGGATACGGGTGCTAAAATACACATTTCATCAAACACTTAGCAAGGGCATTCCTGATTAAATCTACGAGTTTTGCCTAGAGACTTGTAGTTCAACTACCATTTTTCGGTTAGGATACCAACTTTTAAATCAAACTAGTGACAACTAAATGCCCCAGACAGATTCACGACTGAAAATAGACTAAATCGATTAATTAATATTAATTATTAAAATACAGTGGTGAATATTCCGTTATATCTTTTTTACCAAATACACATCCACAGAACGAAAGATTAGTCTCAAACAAGAGAGGTGTAAAGCTGGTTATACAAGAAATGACCCAATTTAGCAATGTCAGGACACACCTTGGTTTACAAAACAAAAACAGTGCTACTTGATGGCCGGGGGACATCTATACTGATGATATATTGAGTCACGTGTCATCAAGTTCATAAAGAGATTGGGGAACATCCGGTGGAATTGTTATAAACATATACATGGATTTTGCAATAAAAGGTAAATAAATGACTGAATAACCTTTCTTTGGAAGCACACGACCGGTTTCGCTACGATTTCCACTCGTCAGATATACCTATCCGGCAATTTGTCATCTAGTTATTCACAAAGGCGAACTTCGGATTTCAATTTTTGTGACAGATCTTTCATCACCGACATCGGGCTTAGCTTTTGGGTACACGTTGTTCAATACTGCTCAGTAGTGAACCAAAAAGATGATTCTAGATTATTTATCTACATTTGTACATTTATATGCAAATATATATAGGGTGTTATTCGAACTCAAGCGACACAGTGACTAGGCCTAATGTTTCAAGTCTCCGTCACGAGAAAAAAATATGGTAAAACGCAGTACCAGACGCAACATATCTGTAAAAGTATCCACTCATCTGGTTCTTCTTATTAGTCGAAGGCCTCATACATATTCCATTTCACGTTTTCGATGAGTGCTGGTGGTGCATCAGTTAAAATGAAAGGTTAGTGGAAAAATTCCACAAGAAGTTATCTATAAAAAATGACTTGTTGACATGACAGAGACATTGTAATTTCACTTTTTCAATACTAAGTGCAATCTTGTAACCGTCGTTTTGGGAAGGGTGTGTAATGATTGAAGTAGTAGTAATAGTAGTAGTACGCACGGAACTCGGAACACGAACCACGCAATGCAAATCACGGACCACGAATCAAGGATCAGTTACCACGGACTGGATCACGTAGGCACTGGACCGCACTGGCACTAGCACGAAACATCCCACGTGACTGAGATTCAGGGAAAAAGCCACGGGAACGATAGTTCTTTTATTGGAAGAAACAAGGGGATTAAATAATATGTACAAAATAGGCTCATTGGTTATCCGGGTTTCTACCAATTGCACTCCAGTAATGCTTGCATCATTCTGCATCTGCCTGTGCCGTACTATTTCTGATTGGCTGCCACGATCTGTCTATGGTATGAAGTCAGAAGCAGTGACACGTACGCTCGTCATTGACGTCACCCTTGAAATTTGATTGATCGCAGGTGTCCAAAAACTGTAACGCTCCGCTCCAGGGTGGGCGTTATCTCGTAGGTCTAGATCATCACAGGGTACTACCAATGAGGCAGTCAAACTGTATTTGTCAGTTTGCCCCAGAACATTCTGCTCTCAGGTCTGTAACGACCCACCTCGAGGTCACTAACTTATCTCCGTCTTCAACACAGTGAGGAGGTCTTCGATTACATACAGATACGGTGCAGTATGAACGGATTACGAAGCACGGTAGCAACTGAAGCACAATCGTGGGCTGGAATCTCCCGTCACCGAGACGCAGGAAAAAGGCTAAAGAAGTAGCAATTCATTTATTGAAAGAAATCAATAGGGTTAAATAATATACAAATAGAAATATCACTACTCAAATGAATATCAACCAATCGCCATTGTCAATCTTCGAGACACATACCTTCTGTTTGTACTGCCTGGCTGTTGACTGACCGATGTCCACAAACTGGAATGCGTAGGCGCTTGGCTGGCTTCATCTCGGAGGGTTGATTCACGACATACGGACTGTGGGACGGTAATTGAATGAATGCGATGTTCGAACTTTTTAGTAAAATTACTGTCTAAATTTGACAAAATTTTCTACGAACAGTCTCACGTGCGATTTCAGATATTGCAACTATATTTTATGACCACTGAGGTTGTATAATTTTCGGCTATAGCTTTCAACCTACCTCAATTTTTGTTGCGACACTCAATCTAACTAGTGATATAAAAGAAATAAGAAGCTTGCGGTGCAAAATAAATGCAT